AACAGGGCATTGGGCAGAGCCCTCACCGAGGCCTGTGTAGGGAGGAAGGCCCCCATTTATTTATGAAAGTCTTCCTCTTGCCTTTGATATGAAGATCACCAACAATGGTCTAGGGAGGAAGTACACATGTAAGAACACACCTTCTTTCCACCTCTAACTTCTTCCTAAATCAACATTGTTATTGGCAGCTTCGGATCAGGTGTATTATGGGAAGAAATGAGTCTCAGATAATGCAGGCAGGGAATGATGCATCCTCAGGGAGCTTAACAATGCTTCATCTCTCAGGCTCTCGTACCCTTTTATTTTTTCTTTATTCTAGACCAACTTGGTTTCCCTTTTCCTTCAGACCATCCCTGCTTAGGCTGGCTCATGTGTCTGTTTTAGGAGGCTATCCTGTCTCTTGCTGACACCAAGAGGCCCATGTTACCTGTGCCCCTCAGCTTGCCAGGGGCCATGTGTACTCAAGGTCTGTGTACTCGCTGTTCCCTCTGCCTAGACAGCTCTTCCAGAAAGGACCCTGGGTTTCACCATTCCCTGAGAAGGTTGGTTTGATAGCCTGCCTGGACCTCCCTGCCCCATGCTGCCCTAGTGGTCGTTTTGCCATTCTTGACACATTCAATTTCCCTTTATCTCCTACTCAATCGCAGTCTGTTGGTTCCTTCCAGTCAGAGATAAACTGCACCAGTGCAGAGCCCTCTCAACTTGTCCCTACCACTGAATCTGTGACACACAGCACAGGGCCCATCCAGGAGCTTCATGGTTGTTGGGGGCAGGATGGGTAAATTAAAGGGTGGATAGATGGAAGTATAGTGGATGGACAAATGGAAAAATGAAACCTCCAATTTAGTCATAATTCCTCTGCTCTATGCCCTGTGAGAGGCTCTTGACATAAACTGTCAGCCATCCTTGCAAAACCAGGCATGGTCTCACATATGCCCCCTTCAGAACTCAGGAAAAGGGAGCTCGGGATGACCAGCACTGTGGCTTCCCCAAGAACAATTCCTGATTACGGGTTGATTCCAAGGGTCAGATCTACACCTTCACAACCATAGATTTCAACCATCTTGCCACTCAGCACTGCCCAGCCCCCATCCCAAAAACCTGTAATGCTACTTCTCATATCAGCCTTTGAATAAGTGGTACAAAAACTCAAACACACTAACAAAACCTAAGCAAAACTCAATTCGAAGTGTATGACTAATTTTATGAAGTTGGGTTAACTAAGTGAAAGCGTCTTTGTAAAAAACAACCTTCAAAGAAGGAGAAAAACGATCTCTCCCAACCACAGGCACCTGCCTCGCAGTGTGTGGGCGAGGAAATCTGTCCTCCAGAGACAGTATGTGGTATTGATCCCACCCCAGGTGTTAGGTGGAAATCAGGAACAAGAGTCACTGGATATGTAGCTGCTTCTCCTCCTACTCCTCTTCTTTTTCCATATTTTTTTCTGCTCTCTCCTTGTCCTTCTCCTCCTCCTCCTCCTCTTCTCCTCCTGCTCCTTCTCCTCCTCCTCCTTCATCTTCTTCCCCTTGTTCTTCTTCTTTCTTCTTCTTCTCCTCCGTTTTCTTCTTATTCTCCTCCTGCTCGTCTTCCTTCTTCCTCCTTATCTTCTTTCTTCTTTCCTTTTCCTTCTTTTTCTTCTCCTTCTCTTCCTCTTCCTCCTTCTTCTTCTCCCTTGTGGGGGTGTAGAATTTAAGAGAAGAGGAGTAACAGGAGTGTGTGAAGAAGATGAGAAGAGGAGAGTGGTGGAGAGGGAGCAAGAGTTGAAGGTGAGGAAGGCAAAGGAAGTAGGGGGGGATGAAGACTGGGGGAAGGAGGAAGAGGGCTTTTGTGTTTGAGTGTTTTCAAAGCTCTGTCTCCTGGAGCTGTACAAACAAAACCCAGGTAGTGTGGCTCTGGGTGATTGTCCCCATCTTTTCCTGGCCCAGGGCCAGGTTTGTCCTATTACTCATCCCATCATCCAGAATGGGAGGGATTAGGGTGGCCACCAGGAGAACAAAAGGCGGCCTTCTGGCCACTCACCTCCAACGGGAGCTCCTTCTTGCCTGCCACGCCGCGGTGATCATCCCACAGCAGCTGCCTGAACCATGAAGCTGGTGACGGTCCTCATGCTGGCCGCCCTGCCCCTGTGCTGCTATGCGGGTGAGCACTGACAGGGCGCAGGCTGTGGATGAGGGTCATGGTCAGGGTGCCCGGCCAGTCCCGCAGTGCCCCAGCCCTTCGTCCAGGCCATGTCATTCCTCTGGTGTCTTCGCTGTCTGTGGGTTGGAGGGCGATGAGGAGGAAGATGTTTTAGGGCTAAAAAAGATTCCCAGATCCTGAGTTTACTCTCCTAGATTGGAGGGCTCAGTCCCTCCTCACCACCTCTCTGAGTGAGTGCATTTCCCTGCAAGGATGAAAGAAGATGACAGCTTCCTACTCACACCTCTCAAGGAGCTCACAGTCTGTGACTGAGCCTGATCTGCATCTTTTCATCCCAGGGGTTGGCTGCAATGTTTTGAAGAAAGTGATCGATATCACCTATGACCCTTCTGTGTCCGTGAGTGACTACATCGATGATGTTCAAGAGTTCATAGAAGGCGAAGAGAGTCAAAAGGCCTTCAAGATGCTGAAGGAATGCTTTCTGAATCAGAGTGTAGAAACTCAGGAGAAGGCCAATGAGTTCCAGGTAATTTTGGCTTCTTTAACTGCTTTTAAGCCAATGGGCAGAGACAAACAGGCTCTAAGTGCATCACTAATGCTTTTGAAGCATGTTGGCTATGCTTGTATCTCAGTGAATGTAATTTCAGGTCAGCAGGAAAAGTATGATATCAAAGGAGCCACCACCGTGCTCGTGCTGGCTAGTGAGGAGTGAAGGGAAAAGGCAAAGAGGGAAAGAGTCTTGGTAAAAGTGTACCTACCCCTCAGCTGAAGATCCCCTGGCTCTCAAGGGGCCATCACCTGTAGGAGGGAGTGGAAAAAAATCCTCCTGTTCCTCAAACAAGTAGTAAGTCATTTTAAAGAATTTTGAAGAGTCCAGAAAGTTCTGTTTCAAGAAGATTCCTTACATCTTATTAACACAACCTTCAGTGCACTGTTAGGAAACCAAGGCTTGTTACAGTGTTTCTGGAAGTGACTGGATTCCTCGACTATGAATTAAAGCCCCCATAGAGACAAGTGGACCATGGCTCTGATTCAGCCGTGGGCAGTGGGAGAGTTGGAAACAAAAATCAGTAGTTTAACCTGAGGTAATCTTTCCATTTATAACAGATACTGTTTAGTTTTTTCTCATACTCATTCTTTTCCCTAATATACCATTTAAACTAGTCCAGGGTAACCACTTGGAAATACTGCCACAGCACAAAGACAAAAGTGTACATCGCTAAGAAATTCCTAAACAGGGTATGGTATGGATGACCACTGTGGAAATATGAGAGAAGAACATAAGCCAGTGACAACAAGACAAATATCATATTTTGTGGAATAGCCAAACACTTAGACCCAGAGGTCGAGCAGTGGTTTCTGGGGAGGGCGGGGAGGGGCTTGGCAGAGGGTGAGGCCCTGCAGCTGCCCATCAACGCAGCGAAAGGTCCTGGAGGTTGGTTGTGCGGCCGACTGAAAGTTCTTCACATGATTAGCTGTGCGTTTAGTAGTGAAAGTGGTAGCATTTATGTTATATGTATTTACCGTAATGAAAACATATTTAAATTATCAAATCAAGGAACATAGAACAAAAACTGATGGACAAAGCCAAAGTAGGGAAAGACTGAGGGAGGGAGAGGGAGAAGAGGGGAAGACAAAGTGGGGAGGAGGGGGAGACAAATGTATTTGAAAAAACATATTAATTTAAAAAATAAAATAAAATCTTTAAAAAATAAAAATAAATAATTAAATTAAAAAATAAAGATCAGTCCCGTCAATTCTGGATGATGTGAATATTCTTTAATACCTCTTTTAGACAAATCATGAGGAGTGCACTTCAGCACACTACAGTCAGCCACAGGGACCATGGGGAGGCACGGGGCTGCTGGTGCTGTTTCTAAGGTGCAGGGACTCAGAGCTTCACATTCCCTCATGTTTGGGCTGAGCTGCTGACAAGCAACAACACAGCATGTTTTTTGGTTATGTTATTTCGAAGAAGAGGAGGCTTACAGAGAAAATCATCAAGAGTGCAGGTGGGGACAAGAAGGAGAAGCACCAGCACCCCTTCAGCCTCAGTGACCATGTCCTGAGCCAGAGAACCAAAAAGATAATTCTAAGTTTTCGTCCAGCTCCAGCTTCCTGTCCATGGCTCTGGACAAGGCCAGGAAAACAATGAGAAAGCATGTTTGTTTTCAGGATGTTCCATGCCACGACCAATTGAGATGTAAGTGATGTCTCTGCTTTTCTTTTCTAGCATGCAGTATATGATAGCTTCTGGTGTGCTCGGTATTAACTTTCCCCATGGATACAGAGCATGGTCTGACACTGACTCTTCGTGGATGGAAGACACAGCGTAACCTTATTTCTTCCTCTCTTGACCTACACACTACAAGACAATTGTTGAAACTTCACATACCTTTGCATTTCAATAAAGCATCAGCAAACCTAGAGTTGTGTTTCAGTTATGGAATAAAATGGAGGCTTGAATCAGGCTCACATCACACACGCGATGCTCGCACACACGTGTGTGCACACACACCGGCACACAATCATTCTTTACAGAACTCAAGGGCGACGCATAGAGAATGAAAGGCACTCTGTCCTTCACCGCCCACAGTCCAACACCGGTGCTGCTTCTGGCATGTGACTGCCCTCCCTGATGCCCGCCCCTGGCTCAGGCTCTGGTGTCCTCGCAGGCCTCACATCCTCGCTGCGCCCCACTCACCCTGATCGGGCTCAGTAAAGATCCCATCTGGCCCAGTGCCTGTGACCACAGAATATCCTTCTTCTTCTTTCAATTCCTTCTGAGTTTGAGTCAAACTGACGACGTACGCCAGTGAACAAGATCACAGAAGCGTCCCTTTTCTTATTTCCAGGCAGTTGGAGAACATTGACCTCACCTTACAAGAGTTATAGCTGGTCGTTTGTTGCCCAGAACACAATAAACATCTTTAATTAACTTAAACATGAATAGCCTTGAAGGTGATGCAACATTGCTAGCTCAGCGATGTCCCTGTCCCTAAGAAGTTTTCATCCCGTTGTGTGTGTTTACCTGTGAAGACGAAATCCCTAGGCTATTCCTGGGATGTCATCCTGAGCCCTGAGGGACATGTGGGCCTGCACGTCCTGCTGAGGACAGGAGTCCAGAGACCCTGGGTCCCTGGGGTAAGTAACGCCCATCCCCACCCACCATTCTCCTCTACCCTTAGTTCCAATATCTGGTTTTAAAATCACACTAACAGTGACTTGGATGTCGATCATGAAACAGGAAATCAAGTGACTGATAAGTAAAGGTCTTATCTCAGAGGATAGAAATCTCAGTGCAACCAGAGCCAAATTCAGAAACACTCTCTGTTAGCACTCGGGACAGACACACACTCTTGTTGGCAGAGCCAGTTAGACTCAGTCCGGTATTTGACTTTGGGAATGAGGCGATTCATTCTGTGAACTTAGTGTTTACATCGGTTCCTTTAGGATGGAAGTGTGACAGCTGACATTTCCCCCCTGACACTGTGGGGAACATCGTTCCCTTATTGATCCATTGACCTTGACACAAGTCCTCTGAGGTCAGCACTACAATACCACCCTCGTTTTACAAATAGGGAAAGTGAGGTGAAGAGGGTCTGCCCCAGCTGAAGAGCCCGCACATAGAAAGCTGCAGAGCAGGGCCCTGGCTGGGGTGGCTTAGAGTGAGTGCTGGGCTGTGAACCACAGGGTCGCTGGCTCGATTCCCAGTCAGGGCACATGCCTGGGTTGTGGGTCAGCTCCCTCACTTGGGGTGTGTGAGGGAAACCACACATTGATGTTTCTCTCCCTCTCTTTCCCCCTCCTTTCCCCTCTCTAAAATATAAAATGTAAAAAAAAAAAAAAGAGAGAGAGAGAGACAGTTCCCGAACTCTCCTTGAATCCACTAGTCTAGGCCCCAAGTCAGGCCTCCTCCCGCTAATCAACGAATGCAAACTTGTAATTCTGACCCATCACAACGGTACTTCAGAACTCAAAACAGAGCACAAACTGTCCTCTTAAGGTTCTGGTGGGGCAGCAGTGAAATTGTAGACTTCTTAAAGTACAGCCGATGGCTGTGAAATTTTAAATATTTCCTAGGAGAACAGGCGTGAGCCTCTGCAGGTAAAGATTCATGATTTTTCCTGAAACTACGCATGTTTCTGAAGGTGTATTTCAGTGTGATGTTCCTGGTGCCATACTCGTTGCCACAGTCCCATTTCTCCCACGACGTCGTGTGATGGAACGGTTGGGTGACAGGAAAGGAGCCGACTGTTCTGTGCTGAACACGTGTTCAGCTATCCTGGGGAATTCTTCTCAGTTCCAATAATTTTTTCAGGAGATTATCTTAAACATTTAATTCATCAATTTGCTTCTATAAATGTTTTAATCCTTTGAAGGGAATATTTTTTACATTTTCCCCTTTCCTTTAATAGACAATTTTTTTAGAGCAGGAAGGTTCACGGAGAAATTGAACAGCAAGTGCCAAGTTTCCACATGCGTCCTACTCACGAACGGAAACCACCTTCCCCCATCGACACCCCCATCAGAGTGGGACATCTGTCACAACTGATGAACCTCTCATGCCACATCATTATTGTCCTTGGTCCACAGTTAACAGTAGGGTTCTTCTGTGCGTGGTGCATTCTGTGTGTTCTGTGAAGTGTATAATGATGTGCGCCCACCATCACAGAGCAGAGCTTTTCTGCCCTCCAGTTCCCTGTGCTCCGCCTATTCTCCCTTCCTGCCCCCAACCCCTGGACACCACTGACTGACCTTTGAATGTCTCCAAGGCTCTGACTTTTCCCCCGTGTCTGCCCCTGCAAGAGGGACCCTGTGAGCCTTAAGGCCCCACGAGGTACTGAAGCTGCCCCGCGAGAGAAGCCTGGGTCCCCAGTGACCCTTGAGGTCAGGGCGTCTCCTGCACAGGCACCTGGGAGCAGTAGGCTCCAGGTGAAGGCAACAATGGTTTAGGATGCCCATCACGGAGGACTGTGTTATCAGTGATTCTGTTGAGAAAACTGATCTGGGTGAGAATTGAAAGCAGCGGACTTATCTCCCTTTCACTGTCATTTCTCAGGTCTCCCCAGACAGTGCACCCTTCATCGCCTACACCCCTGGGGGCACTACCACTGCCCCAAACCTCCTACCTCAGGGCACCGTGCAGCACGTCTCCCGTGTTGGCCTCTGCACTGCACCCAGATGTCACAATGGGAAGCCACTATTTTTTAATCCACTGCAAGTAAAAAGATAGTGAGAGAATGATAGGTGTGTGTTCTGGGGGAAGGGGTGACCGGAGACTCAGAACAATGCACACAGCTAATCGAAAGGATTGCCCGTTTTCCTTGTCTCTGAGCAATGTGCTTTCAAAGGACCCTGACTGACATATTTCAAGTAGTGCTTTTCATTGCATATGCAGTGTGCAGCAGTTCCTCAATCCTGTTTTACTATCTCTTCAAGTTCTCTTACTTCTTTGGGGTATATTCAAATGTCTGTTCTCAGTGGGTAGAGGAGTACTGTTTGGATCTTCCCAAGTCTCTTAAGGACTGGCTCAGTAGAGGACAGGTGCATTCACAGATTTGCTTCAGTCTTCACTCTGTTGCAATATGACATGTCAGCCAGCCTCTGGAAAATCCCACCGTCCACTAGTGAGAGGATGAGAGTGACCTGGGGAAATAAGTCTTAATGTTCTCAGGGAAGTCGTTATGTCCCAGACCCCTGAGCCGTAGGGTCCCATCAACAGTAGCGTGTAAATGTGTGTGTCTATATAGTGACATTTCTTCTGCGTTCCCATTAGACGAAGGCCAGAGCGCAGACTTGCCTTAAAAAGTGAAATGTATGGGGTGGATTCCGGAAGTAGGTACCCACCTCCACTTCAAAGGCTTTAATCAAAATTATTACCTCAACAAACGAATAGAGTGTAATGTGGTGAACTTTCTTAGTAAAAATTCTAAATAAAGTGAGAATAGAAGAAAACTCTCTAGGCCCACTAAAGTCAATTTTGAAAGTCAACAGCCAACATCCCTCCAAAATAATGAATGCTAAAGGTGCTCCCATTACAAGGGGGAAATGCCTGGTGTATCCGTGAAAGTCAACATGGATCTGTAAATTCTAGATGTCATACTAAAATGAGAATATTATAATAATCATAGATATTTCCAAAGATGGCATTTAAAAATTTCCATTGGCAGACAACATGATTCTTTTCCCAGGAGACAGGTGACAGGCTCACAGAGGACCACCAAGAGTATTAAAATGGTAATAGGTGATCCATTGCAAGTGGCTGGATACATGCTCAATATATACAAATACAACAGCTTGTATATGCTGTAGGAGACAGTGATAATTAGAAATGGAAGAAGATGTCTCATTTGCAAAAGTGACAAAACCATAAAATAGCTGGGAACATATCTAATGAGTAAGGTAGTAGGTACTGTGTCTTTGAAGCCTAATAGAAAAGTGTCAGTCTCTCCAAAGTTGATATATAACGTCAACGTATTTTCAACCTGAATCCCCTGGGAGCCTTTTCAGGGACCTAATACAATCCCTTAACAATTCATATGAAACATTATAGGCCTGAAAATGGCCTCAAAGATGAGGAAGAACACTGAGTGTTTCCTAGTGGTATCCGATTTTGAAAGTTAATTAAGAAGTAACTCTTCTTGATCCAGGTTAGTGTTGGCTTAGAAATAGACAAGTATACTGTGGGACATAGTAGGGAACTCAGAAATGCATCCACACACATAGGGAACCTCATGTATAGCATAATAATGTTACCACTCAGTAGTTAAAAGACTATTTGTTGTTCAGACACAGTTAATAACCATCAGCAAGAAAGAAAATGAGTCTTTTCACTCTTTCAATATAGAAAACTTGAACTGGCTTCAAGACGGCCATGTTAGAAGTTAGGAATTTCAGTAAAAATGGTGGGGGCGGGAGTCAGACTGCGTGGGGTCGGCAGGGGGACAAAAGGAGAGCAGTGGGACCAGTCACTGGAATGTGACACAGGAAACACTCCCGGGTCTTCTCATGCACACAGACCTGCTCTCTCACACTCTGACTTAGTCTAGAGGTGTCGATTTCATTCTTCAGCCTGATGGGGGCCATTTTTCTGTCCTATACGAAAGTTACTGGCAGGTAAAAATCATAGCCTACGACATGATTGCGACGACTTCATCAGCATAATGAACACATCCACTAATCAATACGGGAATTGTGTCGGTTCCTAGTGTGTACTGGGCAACGTCGGGTGAGAACGATTCCTGTATGGCCTTATGTCTTATGCCTGACACTAAAGAGAGGCAGGTCTGCACTGAGGGGTTTAGAGCAGATGCTAAGGCTACATGTGCATCAGCATCAGATGGTTAGTGATTCATAAGGACTGACCACTATAAGGAACAGAAGGATTCAGTTGTCCCCTTCACCACAAGGCCTCTTCAAGAACA